ACATAGATGAAAACCAGATGAATGAAAAAAATTGTAAATTTCTCACGTCATAAGAATATACTAATTGCCGGAAAATGGTCTGGAAATTTATAGTAACCGGGACAATGCTAGGAAGCCGGCAACAAGCATTAGCAATGGAGACGGATAGTGTGCGGTATGAGCCCCATTTACATCATTGGCCACTGCAGATGGTGGTAATGCAGGGCATATCAGACCTTCTTTTCCGTCGTGGCACTCATTGGCGAAAAGTCCTGGTGGGTAGTTTCCGTAGAGGTTGATGTAGCTGAACATAATTGAAGCGCATTCATTTGTCAAGTCATTAAGCACATCTGCGTAAGGGCAAGCCAATTCCTTGAATGCACCACAACACTGTTTAGCAGGGTATTGGGGTCCTTTGCATTGGCTTGTGATAACCGTGTAGTTCAAAAACTCAAAGTTCACTGGGCAACCTGCAGATAACAGGAGCCAAAATTTCATCAGACCAAGTTATTTACCTCCTATTAAGATCTACTAAAAAGGAAAATGGAACCGAATGTTTATGCATCGATTTCTTGGATTCAAATTGATCCCGATCTCAAGTTTCTCTACTTTCCATTTTACAAACAACAGCATTCGTGAGTTAAATTGTTAAATGTTATGGGAAGGGGATTGGTGGAGATCGAACCCGCACTAAGGTGCATAGGTATTATTGTTTTCCGCCACTGCGGTAAAGCGTCACCTCCAAAGCTCCACTATTTTCTTTTTCCTATATGCGCGCGTTACAAAGTAAATATCAATATATCACATCCTATGTAAGCAGAGATATGATGAGCCACCAAGCATTTACAAACATACATCATTCTACGAAGACTCATCCAATTTAATTACTAAATTTCGATTTGATTTTCGTCAATTAATTTCTCAAAATAAGTTCGACATGGACTTAACAAATCCAAAACTCAAAATTCCAGAAAAGATACAAGCCCAATCCATCACCCTCTATTAACAGATCATAGCTCACAAACAACACATACATTCGATACGCTTTCATCCTCCAACAAAGTAAAACTGAAGCAAGAAAAATCAATCAAATCAATATTTTCCAAAAGTAGAAACAATCGCTTCTACACCTTTTAGCACTGTATTTCAATTGCTAGAGTGAAAATTATATGATACCGACAAAGAAAGAACAAATTTTTCAGAGAAGGGTGTGAAGGAAATCAAACCTGTCTTGGCCTGCAGCAAGTTCCGGCCAATAGAAGCCTGAGATTCAAAGACACCATCTGCAGCCACACACAAAGAAATCACAAAGTTCAGAGCTTTGCTAAATCTAAGCTGATTTGAACCCCAACCCAGCAAAATTACAACATACATATACATATATAGAACTTCAGATGTTAAATCGGGCAGTACCTGAAATGAAAGTTGGTGAGGATGAAGAAGCAGGAAAACCCAGAAAAAGGAAAAGGAAAACAACGGAAAAGCAGAAGCAGAAGCTCTGATTCAACACCATACTTTCTGGGTTTTTGGAGAGAACAAAAGAGAAACCAAGTCAGAGATCAAAGATCTCTCTTTCTTGTCAGCGGGGGACTACTTTCTTTTGTTTTCCTCTGACTGCTGGCTCTCCCTGTTTTATTTATTCACTATATTCTTTTTCTGGGAAGATAACAAAAAAGACATTGTTATTTATTTATTTACCATAGAATTTAGAAACTGTGAGTACGGCGAGTCCTTATCCTTCGTGCTGCCCTTACCTCATTTCCTCAACTGAGAAGCCATTAGTTTTGCTAACCTTGTATGTGCCCTTTGGTCTTTTAACAACGAATATAGAGATTGGCCAACAAAATAGTGAGTTTAGTTGACAATCTTCAGAAAGCGTAGAGTGCGTGTGTTGTAGTTAAAACTAAGCTTTTTCTTTTATTATTTTGAGCATTTAACTAGAATTCAGATACTCTTTGTAATGATTGAGGAGATCCGTGAATCGTGTCCGTTTATCGTATATCATACGATCAGAAATCATTTGAAGTATTTTTATTTAAAATTAAACATAAGCAGTATTTGATAAAAACTGACAACCCAATATATAATGAACAGACACGATTTACAAATCCTTAGAATTTTCACCAAAACGATCCGAAGAGGATCCTATTGGATTTCACTAGTGGTTTCTGTCTTTGTCGTTTTTTATTGTCAAATATTGATCTCTAGTTCCTAATCATGTTAGGCTGAGATTTTCAACTAATAGACTCTTACAATCCTTTGGCCAACAAAAAACTATACTACTACATTCAAGTGAATAATCTAAAACTGATATATTTTACGATTTCTCTTGTTCCTGCAAATGATGGTGAAGTTTACGTCCCCACTGCTTCAAGAAATGCACATTTTAATATATATACCTCAATGTTGAAAGATGTCTCAAGTTCAAATCTCTATCTCTTGTCGATCTAAATTTTATGAATCTAAATTTTATGAAAAATGGATATCCTAAACAATAACATTCAATACATATCCCATTCAATTTGAAGTAATGGTATAGTCCAATACCTCTCGATCTTCACATATTCATTTAAATTCAAATCAATAATGTTATTTGGAAGCATAAAATTGATGCCCTTATTGATATACTCTCGAGTTGAAATCGAATGTATCATTTTTTGTGAAATGCTATTCATAGTAAAGAGTGTGAATAAATATGCAAATTTTGTGTACCTAAATCATTTTTGTTCCATTTTCTATAGTTGTACTTGGTACTTGGTGGGGTGTTTTTTTTTTTTTTTTTTTTTTCTTTGGTAAACGGTATTTGGTGGGGTTTTGGATGTCACGTTGCTCACGAAAACGACCAATATGCTTTTATCTTAATAGAATTGCGCGTTAGCATCAACCTTTTCCAACCAAAGTGCTGCTGTCACCGCAAAGAAAATAATGACCTAATTATGTTAATAGAATAATATGGTCCGTTTATTCCTACCGATTCTCTTCCTCTAACGACTAATTATTTAACTCACTAATACTATTGTTTGTCAAAAAAAAAAGTCCACCATAACCAATTGGTTACTATTATGAAAGGGATTTTTTTGTAACCATTGCGTCTTATACCAATAATAGTTTCTATTTCTGCCCCTGACCAAGATCTTGCACTTCTAAAAAAAATGCATAAATGAAAGTTCGAAATAGGGTAAAAATCCAACTTCATTGTATATCGAAGATACTACAAAAGAATGAAATAAATGAAAACAATCAAAATTCTGAATTCCTTGTACTGCAATTAGCTAGATCAATGAGCCTCAACTTCCAAACCATACAAAACCCTTTGGGACCAATCTAAATCTCTCAAATCTAAACTGCAGTTGTCTTCCCCTAGCATACTTGTGTAGTACACATGTGTAAGCTTCTGAAACGTTTGCCAAGTCAGCAAACTATCAGAAGCAGCCTGATGACTCTTCCCAGCCACACGATCAACCCCAAGCTTGTTAGCCACTCTCTCTAATCCTCCATAAATCCCTCGAGAAACCCTAATCATGCTTTTGATGTCGTACACTTTTTTCCCAAAGTATATGTCCATCATGCACATGAAACTGTTAATGTCCGGCGGCAACCAGTCGTCAGTCAGCATCTTGATCAGGTACCCGAAATCGTAAGCGCTATGGAAACCCACCCATGTCAACTGGGACTTCTTGGAGAGCAGCGAAGATTTATGCCACAGCAAGGAGAAGTCGGAAGAACGAATACCCTTTTCCTTGTTTTTCAAGAAATCGATTCCTTGCTTCTCAAGTAACTGAATAGAACTTATATTCTGAAGGTCACGATGGACATCGAAGTCCCTGAAGTTGAACTCCCATATGTAGCAGCTATTATTGCCGAAACTGGGCAAGTTTCCGTTGTTATCGGAGAGTGTTAGACCTAACTGGATTATGTTGGTGTTGTCCACGTTGGCCTTCATGAGCTTGTATTTGGACGCCGGGGTTGGTAAGGGGGTGTGGATATCGGAATACTGGAAAACTGTGCCAGGGAATTCGGTGTCTATGGAGAGGAAAGGGTAGTAACGAATCATGGACTGCATTAGAGCAAACTCGGATTCCAAATTGTGCTGCCATACGTGTCGAATCTCAACTTTCTTCATGGTCTTTGGTATTAGGTTTTTTGCTGAATTTTCTTGGAATGATGTTATGCTCTAATGAGGCCTGGCATAATGATATATATAGAGAGGAAGTTCATACTCCGAATCCAGGTGAAATTAGGAAATATGTAGTCTCTATTTCCTACTGGCCGACTTTGTTCCAAGAGAATGTAGGAAACCCTAGCCGAACCTTTTGCGCGTCTAAGTCCCGGATATTTTTGAAACCTAAAGTCAAATGTAATATAGGATTGGATTAGCTTAATCCAATCCTATATTTGGCGATCAAAGGGACAACTAATCCTTACAAAATTGTGGGACAAATCATCCCGGTACTCCAATCCTAAGTTACCTCTCCGGTCCTAAGTAATCTTATCCTACAATCCTAAGTTATCTAATCCAATTCAATCATTGTCACCAAACATGACCTAAATGTCTTGTAATCGTATCGTATGTAGCCTCAAATATCTTTTTCCCTCATTCCTTCATTCTAAACATACTTTGTACTCAAATTTATACCTTTGCACTGAAGCCTTGGTTAAGACGAGTCTTTGATATATCCAAACATCCAAGGCTTGTTTTATTTTTATTTGGTACGTTAAGGGAAATCGAACTCTGAGCGAGTCTTAATCTTAACCGACTACAACTAATCTTAATCATCTTAACATCGAGACTTATCATATCCAAGTCAAAATCGCATTACCTTCTCATAAACATCAAATTGGCAGGATGCAAATGGTATTTCCCATGGTGTTCAAGAGAGACCTTTGGAATACTGCATAGGCTTATAAGACCTGAGGGTCTTTTTCTCATAACCAGAGCATCAATCGATAAATGATTTACAGTTTCATCAAGAAAAGTGAACTATTATTACCACTTCAAAAAGATCATCCTGCACTCAATATACAAATTTTATGCTCATGTTTTTGTACAATGCATATGATAATTTTGGAAAATAAAAAGAGGGTGATGCTATTTACACACGTTTTACCTCCCGTACACCTCCTGTTAATTCTTGTTCTTTAATAATCTTCAATACATTCGTTCAAACGGCCAAAAAGGGATGTGTGGTTAGTATCACTCTAGAAAAAAAATCCCCTGTTATGATGCTGGCTAGTTTGTTCATCAAGCTCAGCGTTCGCCATTGAATACAATTAACATGGAGGAACCCTAGTGATTTCAGTATTCCATCATATACATTGCAATGGATCTGGTGTGGGAGTTTAGACCTTCAAATTCCTCCAAAAAAAAAAAAAAAACACTATGCCGAATTGTACAAAATTGTACAAGATTTCATTAATCCTTTTTTCTGTTTATCTCTAAAAAAAAAAAAAAAAAAAAAGAAGATAAAAAGAAGGGGCCTTCTCTGCATCATAATTCTTAAACCACGCGTGTATAGCCTTTCCCGCTATGAGTTGTTACCTATTCAACAAAACAGTCTCTTTCGCTGCATCAAAAAGAGCCTCACCTATGTCAGATTTGGCTCAACAAAACGAAATGCTACGAAATGAACATTAGCTCATTGATTGTAGCTACCTATAACTATATGCTTTTCTACCTTATTATTGATCATATTTCGATGACAAAAACTCCCCATAAGACTTTCCTAATAAAGGCTTAATTGATAACCCGAAAATCAAAAGTCGGTTGATTTTCAGATAAATTTAACCACGGAAGTTAAGTTTTTGCATATAGACTTACATGAAATTTAGATTCCTGTAGATTCTCCAACAACCTAGCAATCTCTAGTTGCTTTACCGCTGCAGCATGCAGCACCTGTAAGGCCAACATTGAAAAGAAAATATTGTTATCTGTGCAATTGAAAGATCAATAATCAAATGGCTAAAAGCATTCAAATATAGTATACCCTTTTCGTTTGCTCGAGATCATATTCAACAGACTTGATCCTTTCCAACGAGTCCATCAGCATTCGCTCCTTTTCTAAAGGAATTGAAGCAGGCTTGTTGTTAAGTTCCTCACATACTTTTTCTAGTTGCTGAAGACGCTGTAAACATGGCTGGACATAGTCTTCTTGACTCACAACTTCAGGGGATGGTAAATGACTATTTGTGTTGCTTTCCACCAAATTTGATGGGTAAATGTTGTTCTGCTTTCTCCAAAATTCAAATTGTAGAATACGAGAAAATGGTATTAGTCTGACCAGGAAAGATACCAGCTTTTTTGCCGTACGAGTGAAGTCCGTCTTCTCAATTTTGTCCTTAGTTGCGTCAAACCTAAGGTTAACTGAACTACCTGAAAAGACGCATGAACTCAGGAAATAATAGTCGAAATGCATAAGCAGTGGTAATACAATTTTTAGATTTATAGAAGTCGACAAAGGAATTTAGTAAATAATAACTGGAAATAAGGTTATAATAATGTGTTACCTTCGGAATTTGATGTTGCTTCAAGAGAAACATTATGATCCTGATGACGTCGTACTCCTTGATCACTTGTTCCGGCTTTCTCAACCAGAGGAAGATCATCACAGCTGTAGTAAGCATTTGGATCTGATGCCTTGACGTGTGCAAGACAGATTAATCAATATACACACCAACATATGCAGTACATCTTTTGAACCAAACAAATCATAAAGAAAATTAATCTTAAAACTCACGTCTTCATCAACTGAATCCAAAGGAGGAAATGCAGAACTCCTTCGTCCTAGTGAAGAACAAGGATCGTCGATATCCGATCCTGATTCTACAACTGATGTATCGCTTGTTCTACCCTGATAACAAAATTAAAACAAATAAATGAAAGAATAAGTATGTGTCACCTTTTCTGAACCAATACTACATCAAGTACTACAAAAAATAGTTCTGAACTAACCTTCAGTGGATATATTTGAATATATGAGTCAAATTTCTCCTGATCACCAGACACTCTAGAAATTTGCCTGACAAATGTTGCTTCGGCAGCATGCAGAAGCTACAAATTAGAGACACTGGGTTAAACTTCGCTATTCACTTCAATAAAGAGATTGAAGCCTGAAGCCACTATACTACTCATTTAGAAAGTAAAATGATGACAACCTTCATTATCTCGATGTCATTCCATGGACCTTTATTAGACCTAAGGCAGCCTCCTTCAGCTGAACATGTACATGATCCGCCTAGGAAGTCTGGTAACTGACTGAAAAGAGAGATATGTTAACAGTGAGCTGACGAGCACTGTCAAATGTCGATAAAAATATTGCAGAGTATATTTATATATAATTATATATATACGTGCTAAAAATACCTTGAATCAATGACTTCCAGTAGTTTAGACAACGATTTGGGATCCAAAACCTGGATTTTAGATAATTATCAGCAATCATGGCTGCAGGATAAGGAAAATACAATGCCACGGGCCTAGAGCAGTATCCTTTACCTGTATCTTTGCAATAGTCTTTACATCAAGAAATTTCTGTGCAGCTGGCCAAAGCATCTTCTTAAATCCAGGACCAGCATTGACAATGTACATTCGGTGTAGTGTCTGTATATTGCAAAGAGTTAGACGCGCTTTACAAAATACAACAACAACCAAGCCTTATCCCACCAAGTGGCTGCTTTATAAAATAAAACAAAAATATTATTCTTTAAACCAAAAATAAATTAAAGCAAAATATTGTTCAGGTGATTTGGATACCTCGGGGTAGTAATTGGTGTCTATCTTTGACATGGCAGACAAGAGATTGGCAGCAGTTCTAGTGAAATTTTTCATGCCCTGTATTTCAAATAACATTAGTTTTCTAGTTAAAAATCAGGAAATTAGCAGTGGCAGGAAAGGAAGTACCAAAAGCGGAGGAAAAGATGTAAGCATACCAAGCCTTGTACATCCAGTATAGTTGTTGTTGAACATATCTGCCTCTTTGCCGCAATTGAACAAGCAGGGAATTTCTCCTGCAGAGCTCTCTCAAACTCTTGGACATGGTACTTTAAGTATCGCTCTATACTGGTGATTTGCATTAACCTACTTGGATGAGCTTTTCCCAGTCTCTCAATGTAAACGGGTCTGCCTTCTTTATCAACCCCATGATATCCTTGAGGGTAAAATTGCAATACTTCATCAAGCTCTTCAAATTCAAAATCCTTCGAATTGATTAATTTGAGAATGAGTTAGAACTAAATCAACAAAAGAAAAATTTTATTCACAGCTTGCACTTCGAACACGCTACAACATTCCTACTGTTAGAGCCCCATCACAATTCAGATAATAATGGCTTATCTCCAAAGATGACATCCCGTTTCAAGGTCTTAGATTAATTAAATTTGTGCTTCCGAATTTCCTAATTAGACGATGACCTTAAATTTTCCTAGCACACCAAAGAATTCTCTTGTCTAAAAGATAATACATCTATAGTTACATCATCAGATAAAAAATAATAACCTCATTACCTCCAAAATGGTGTCTGTTCCAAATTCTTTTCTCCATTTAAGCATTTCTTCCCATAACTGGAGTGTTTTTTCAATGTTAAGGTCTCTAGCTTTCAAAAATCTACATGAGAGTCAAAAAAAGATAAGATCAAGTTACTATAATCCACTACATCTGAATTGTCAACTGAATTGGCCACTATGTCAATAATATGAACAAATACATTGGAGGGATATTGACTGACCTCAACAAAGTATGGTAGTCATCATGCCTTGCTGGCAACAAGTCCACGTCAAGGAGTCTTTGACGAAACTCTTGGACAACACTCTCCTCTTTCGCATCCCGTACATCTTCTATGGAAACTGCTGGAACCCGGTAATCAATTTTCCTTTTTCCTCTTTTTTTAAGAGAATGGGTAAACTTACTTGAAGCATTTATCGCCTTCTTCTTGAGGTTGCAAATTCTTGAGCGTCGTCTCTCCTCTTCAGAATTCTCAAAATCTGATCTTCTCTCTCGGATTTCATCAAGAGCTCCAAAACCTTCAAGGCCTTCAGTGAACAGAGTAACATGCATAACCATCAGTACCACAATACGCAACCTTTATCTCGATTTCGCATTTTGTTTTTCTAATAAAACAAGCATCATGTTCCCTTCTTCAACCGGAGATAACAAATTCATCTAGCGTACCAGAAAGCATACCTGACATCTTAGTCCAATGCAGAGGCAAGATTTCCACTGTCTCTTGGCCCTTAATCTTCAGAGAAAGGAAGCGAATCCACCGCAAACTCTTGAGCATGAATGTCCCATATTCTGTCAAAATACAAGCAACGACTTAGGATTCGAATATAAGACACAAATACATCTTCAATATACAGAAGTTGAAGCTGAAGAACTGATATTGACTGACTTTATATCTACAGCAGAAGGTGAAATATGACTAAATAATTTGACTGCACACAAAACCAAAGTAACTCCTTAAAAAACATCAAAGTGCAAATAAATAAAAAATCCTTACAACCAAAAAAAAAAAAAAGAACACAAAATTGTAACCCAGGTAAATGTAAATACATATATATCATATGTGCATATTTGTGAAATTCCCTTTACGGCATTTGGTAAAAAATGAGAAAAAGAAACAACTGCATTGTATTCTGGTATTTTCCCAAGTTTCTTCCTACACCAAAACTTCATATCCTCATAAAAAAGAACCTTATCACTATTCAGCCTCCCCTGAACTTCTTTAACTCATTTTCCTGACAATTAAAACTAGCAAAAGAAAAAATGTCACTTTCCAACATCTGCAGGCCAACAAAACACACCCTTTTAATATTCAATACCCAATTTTCCAAATGGCAGACAGATCTGAAGCAGCTAAATTCCCCAATCAAATTACAAAAACCCCATTTTTCTCTACCTTCACCAGAATCAGATTCCAATCTCATCATCTCCAAATTTGCCACCTTTCCCAGATTTCACTATCCTTTTTCCACAAATATTAACACACACAGAAAATAACTCACAAAAAAGCAGCCAAATTCCCAAAAACCAATCTCTCTAACTTCAGGTGACTAACTAAAAAACTGAAAAACTAAATCCCATCACGCAAACTCAATCAATCTCTCAGGAGCTCTCTGAAACTTATACGAATTAGTGACAACAGTGAAACCGTCACAAAAGCTATCTGATAGCAACCGAACTATAAAGCTCTCGCATTTACACCTTCTTAAACGCTCTCGAATCCCCAAAACGCATTAAACCTCATCAATGCGGATAACCCACGTCCGGATCACACGCATTCTCCCTCTCTACGTAAATTTCCCACAAAAAGATCGAAAATTTACAGGAAAAAAAATGAGGAGGGAAAAGCAAAATAAGAAACCTAGATTGGAAGCTGCATCGCAATCCGAGAAGCTCAGGCAATAGGTTTCACCCGCGGAGAATCTAATCCAGAAACAGAGATGGGCCGGGAGAGAGAAACGGGGGAAAAATTGAAAGTCGCTAGGAGATTTTCCCGAGAAAAAAAATGAGGAATTTTCTCAAGAAAATTGAAATGGAAGTCGGTAGGAGAATTTAGCACAAGGGAAAGGAAAAAAGCAAAAGACAATTCTCGGAAGCGAAAGAGCTCTCTCTCCTCTTCTCTCCTTCTCCTCCTTTTTCCCAGCTGTCCTCTCTCTCTCTCCTCTCTTTCTCTCTCCTCACTCTATTTATTTTTATATTTATTTTTATTAAATTATGGCTTTTGGTCCGCTTATTTGGCACCGACGCCCCCCAAGATTTGCATACGTGGCGGCCTCTGCCTTCGTTTTCAGAATTTTAGTGTTTTGTACTTGTATATTAATTATATTTTTTTTAATTTTAATTTAATTTTGGAGGTGTTTGCAGGAAAAATGAATTGACGGTGGCGATTGGAGTCGGATGAAGCAAAGTGTTTTGTGCGCTTTGCTTCTCGTAGGGTTCGTTGTAACTTTTTTTCTAGCTGTTGCTTAATCACTCACGCGCCTTATTTTTATGTATTTTTATTTTTATTTTTTATAAGTAATATTGTGGTCATACTCCGCCACTTATATTAGCTAATTGTAATTAATTTATGGAATTTTCATTAATACTTCAGAAATCTCATTCTACACACCTCACAAGTATATTTTTCTTTATAATTATAGAAAGTTTAGAATGCAAAATGAGATTTGTAGAGCGCCCATAACAATTCCCTTAATTTATAGTTTGTTTGGAAGTGTTTTTAAAATAAAAAACTCTTTTAGAAAAACGTTTTTTTGAATTTTAAAAAAACTTAAAAGTGTTTTCTGTAGGAAACATCAGCACTTCCAAGCGAGCCCTCAAGCTGAGTTGTAAATTTTCGTACACTTCCCTTCCAAATATTAATCTTATGTAAGGAGGATCTAATATGGACAACGCACTTCAATAATCTACGAGGAAGGGGTTTCGGTGCAACTGTAAAAGTGCCACGAGAGTTGAGGTTCTGGAATTTCTATACTGTAAAGGGTGTGTCTTATTGGTTTCTTTGTTTTGTTGTAATGTACGATAAAATTTGACCTTCTCTTTGTTTTGGTAATGTTTCTTGTGAAAACAATATAACTCAATTTTTTGCATCCATATCTTTACGAGCAACAAGTATGATTTTACAACTCGTTTCATTTTTTTTTTTTTTAAAAGACGATATATTAAGAACTCAATCAAGTTACATCAAATGATGGAGAAGATCTTGAATAATAGCAGGTGGTTCTTCAAATCAAACTACTTCGTTGCCAATTGACAGGGAAAACTTAACTAATATATTGTCTACCCACTACAATTTCTAAGGACATACATGAAAAGTTTAGAGAGAAAGGGAGTCGCTACATATATCACATTCTCTCAATTAAACCAGTAATAGATGATCTATCCCCTGAAGTAGTCGTTAATTACGGCAATGGCATGAGAAGAGTTACTTCCAACTCGCTTTATGTGTTAAATGTATAGTTTAAGGTTGCATTTAAGTTGGATCCATGCATGCAAGTAACTGAAGAACATAAACAAAAGTCAAAAAATTTAACAATTTCCTAGTCAACAAAAATCGTTGCGTAATAAAAGGTCGACCAAATTGGGAAATGGATATCCATACGACCAAAATAGTAGGTTGGTTGTTCCTATAACTTGGCACGACTTTCGTAGTCATCAGCTTTTGGCAGTTCTGCTAGCTAGATAGTACATCCTCATCTCTCATCCAATTATATGTGTGATAAATAAGTGATCTGTTATGTATACTTTTTCGTATAATGAAATATCGTCACATAATGTTACTGTTTCAAATAAATTCTAAGGTAAACGTGTCAAACTTTGGACATAAAGCTTCATTCTCTGAGAGTGGCTTTTGGCTTTTCTTACACAACTTAGTTGGAAAGCAAAGAATGTCATAGTTCTGATGTTGTATGAGCCATGAGCGAGATACCATTCTAAAAGAGCTATAATTTTAATCTTGTATGTCAAGACCAACCGGCAAAGGTACGATCTCAGGTAAATGGTATGTAGGGAGCGTCGGTCTCCCAAAAGGTGATAGAGGCGTGGAAAGGTTTCCTCGGGCAAGATAGAGATTAGCCTTTGAGTGCAAAAGACATAAAGGGGCTTGATTGTAAGACTCACATGTCGAGCAGGTCATAATACGTGATTTGATAACATCACATGACAATTTTGTTAGTGCACACAAAATCATTCACTAATGAGTGATAGGTTATGGGTCAATTATGTGCTGCAATCGTGTGGCTTAGAAATTCCAACCATAATCAAGGTTTAGTTCAAGTCATTCATTAATAATCCTAGGATGGTACAGGATGATGAACCGACACCCCAAAATTCTGTAGAGTTAGTTGATCGTGGTGGTTAAAAATTTATTAACAACGGGAGCTACACAACAAAGACGACACTTCCACCACCAAACCCTAGTTACTGCGGTCCATACATACGCCGCACGGTGCTACATATATATGCTTGAAAGATTATATTCATTCACCAAACTATTGCAGAGAATTTACTACAGCCACAGATTCTAGGGTTTCAAATTTAATTAGGTCAGTCCCACTTCTTCCTTCATGGGTGATGGAGATTGAAGCATTCATTACAACTCACAAATCTCTTGTGTTGGCACCACCATCACTTTAATTAATTCACTCCAAAAGTGTTGGATATTTTAAGAAGGTGAATGTTGTGTCAACTGTATGGGACGTGAAGAAGGTTTTACGTGTACCCAAAACACAAGATGATATATTATAATTTTTCATACAAATAGACGACATACTTCATATGTCTCACTTTTAATGTTTATTATTTAATATCTCACTACTTATATTATGACATAAGTTTCTTTGTACGTATTTATGCTAACCAAGTATAAAAATAAGATAAACTACATATTGGTAATGCGTGTGATATTGGGTAGTTTTTCATACCTTGATAACGATGAAAATGAAAGCAACATTAACACACATTTTGTTATTTTTGTTAACCCACATAACACATTTTGATGGTATAGTGTAGTTGCTTCATTTTATTAATGTGTGAGCAATCTTTGAATGTAATTGAATTTGAGAGCTTAAATTGTTGTAAAAATATTTGTCCTATTATCCTAGTCCTACCATGCTAAATAGGTTTTTTTTTTTATTTTTACGCCAAACAATAACAGTTTTATTATAGTATTGATAATGAATACAAACATCAAACATGATATTCTTAATCCAAATATACTTGAAAGTAAATAAGGTTAACTTGACCAAACTAATTACCACTAATTTAATGGATTTGAAAGTGAGACAGGTCTAAAAATAAAAAAGTGCTAGCCAAAAAAGAAGAAAAAAGGTGAAAATATACAAAACATTAAATGTATATAAAAAGAAATTCATAAAAACTAAAACCTAATTAGTTTATCATAAACTTATCTTGAAACGGAAGGTGTAAAACCTATATAATTATTAATTAGTCAAAGGAATTTTTGTTAATGCTCGCGTGCGGTATAGATTCGTTGAAAAATGAGGAAAAGGAAAAGCTAACCAAGTTTTGAGTGAGATTCCCTTCCTTTCGTAATCATGAGATTTTTGTTTTCTTGGAAGAAGTTGGCACGCCAAACTCTCCAACCCAGAATGAATGAATGACAGTGTTATCAGTTCCAGGAATATTTTTGCTCACCGTTATAATTCTAATGTATGTTCATCATTATTAATCATTTGTCACGTGTTCTTTACCTAATATTTAATGTGAAAGTAAATTACATGTAGGTGGAAGAATATGTGTCATATGATTAGGTGGCATACATCATAGTTTATGATGTGGTGAGCAAAAATGCTCCCCCATTAGACTGAAAATAACATCATATTGAGTGGAATCGGCTGTATGAATCTTAAAACACTAATGCATGGGAACATTAATCCACGGATCTTGCGCCAAGTATTCTGTAAGCTCAAAGTACTCCATATCTTTTTCTAAAGTCACACTACTATTTCATTAAAGAAAATAATTCAAGAGTAGGTTCAAACATACAATGTAAATCAAAATAGTTAATTAATTTTGAGAGTTTGAATGTAATGCAAAAAATTTAATTAAACCAAGTACAATTTAGATTTAATTTCTTTGAAAGAGGGAAACCTTTGGAAGTTGAACAAAAAAGAAAAAAGTTTGGTCACCTATTTATCTATCTTTAAATTGTTGTTAAAATTGTTGATGATAACCTATCAAAATGTTTATTTGTTACCAAAGTTCTTTAAAATGACGGATGAAATTTAGGTGTTTCATCAATTACATACGACTAAAACTCTTTTTATACAAAGAAGACCAAAGAAAAGAGGAGATTTGTGGACTTGAAAATATGAGTCAATTAAACATGTGTTTTTGGCATTTTTAAAAAGTTATTGTGCACTTCAAACCTTAAATATTGCATAACAAAAATATTCTTACAAGAAGAATCACACGATAGCCATCAGTGGAGACTGAAATGCTTCTATGAGTTTTCTAACACCCAAAAAAGTAAATTGCCGTGACGAATCTACCCGTTAATTCATTTTTAAATATAATAAAAATCTCCTTATTACACTTCACAAGGTTGGGAGTGTACATACTGTCGTAACAACTAGAAATGAATTACTTGGTTTATTCGACTTGGACTACGTCTACCAAATTATTTTGATCACTTTAATTCATAATTAATGTGGTTACAAACATTAGAAGGTTAGTAGCCACATAATATAACTTAATCCAAAACAATTATAAACATATATCATTGTCTAGATTTTTTTTTTTTTTCTACAAAACATTTCACTCTTGAATGCTTTCAAGAGGAATGTTGCATCACTATGATGTCTCATAGTCGAACATTCTTTTCTACAGCATACAAAGAAGAATCTTGAAATATAAATATATGGCAAAACAAAAACCTCTTCACATATTTGGTTGGTACGAATACGATCTAGAAATTCAAATCGATTAGGTCATCATGGTATGAGTCATCATCACAATTCACAAGTCACTAAAACCCTAGATATTGGAAAAGTGCCATATCATATACGTGCGCCACTTATTTGTATACGAGTGTATGAAATAAAATAAAAAAGAGAGAGAGAAAAATTATAGCATATGGATTTCATCACGTAAAATGAAATGAGACAGCAAAGTCAATTCAAAACTCAAATTAAAAATCGTTTTGAGTT